TTAACATAAATTAATTAGCATTATGGTATACAGTAGGTATATTTTTTCCTCCTCAGAGGAAGCGAATTAAATAGGTTTAAAAGCGGGTTTAAAAGGTTCGTATTTATAATCCTGCTGAACAAGTCAACCGAAACCAGTCAAGACTGAAACCAGTCTTGAGATATGATACGATTTAATAAATGGATCTGTAGAGTCAACTTAATATATTCGTCATATTTATAACCGCAATTTAACTAAAAAATTCAAATAAAATTTGTCTCAAAACACAGCTCGTCCATCGGAACATAATTTCTCGTGATTTAATAATAATAAAATATTAATAGCTCTTGAATTTTATTAGCCGAATGTTATCTTCGGGAAAAATTGAGTAAGAGTATCTATCAAATATACATATGAGACTTGAAAAAAAATGCTTTTAAATAATTTCAATAATTTCAATAATTTAAAATTAGTTGAGAAACGGAGAGTAATTATTTATGTGAGAAACCTTGAGATTCAAGAATAGATTTTCAAAGAGATAAAACTAGCAATTATATGTATACTTATCCACTTTACGACACTCTTGTAGTTTATATAATAACGGATAATAATGGATAATAATTATTTTGTATTGCGTGTTGATTATACGATACGCGCCTTTTTATTTGAAAAATTAAATTCATGATCGAATATGCGTCAACGATATAGACGCGCGCCGCCGCGCGCGTATAAGATGCGAAATCTAATCCTCCAATTGATGAATGAATTTTATTGGAAAAATATTTATGGAAATTAATTTATTGTTATTACTTTTTTCCCAATATTTTACATCTCGAGATCAGTGGAATTGTTTGACTTCTAATACGTCGAGAAAGAAATATAAAATTACATCGCTATACCTTTTGTGGTGACTTAATCTGAATTTTCTGATTCGTTGAAATTCACAATGATTCTTGATTTATTAAGTTCTCTTACACAATTTCTCTTCTCTTGGAAGGAAAAATAAAAAAATGGTAAAAATAACGATAAATTGATTTATATAATACGTAGAAGTATTATTTTGATCAAAATAAAGATAAACGTTATTTTTTAATATTTTAACGATGTGATTAACTAGTAATGGTTAAATTATAATGTATATAATATGCATATCACATATTTGCAGCATATTCGTTGTGACTTACGATTCAAACAACGATACTTCTATTAAGCTTTAAAATATTCACAAAGCTTTCTTTCATTCGAGAGAGACCACTCGAGAGAAACTAAATTTATCTCAAGCGACGATAACGGTGGAACGAAACGGTAAATGTACGATAGTATCCTTCTTGTAACTTCGAGATATAAGCGATAACGTGTGGCGTGTGTGTATATATTCGAGGCGTCTATTTTATTACACATCTATTTTTTAATATACTAAGAGCCTCGTAACGGCGCGGGCGCGGGCGCGGCGAAGAATTGACTAATGACTGCGAACGCTCGAAGTTCGGCGCTCGTGCTTGTAAACAAACCGAGTAGTACGGCATACGCCGGCGGCTTGTGTTATAATGCTGTTATATGCACAGGGTGCCGCGACTGCCGCGTTATCATCGTACGCAACGTGGCTGATTGTGAGCGAGTGTAAATCGCTCCGTAGTCCGCGTACGTCGTCGCATTATTATTTCCCGAGACGTGGCCGCAAGTTCGAAGAGAGAGAGAGACAAGTACCCAGATACGCGATTATTTCCCAACGATTGTCAACAGGTAGCGGCGAGAACATTTGCTCCGCTATTATCCTTATTCGAAACGCGATTGAGAGGAAACGCGATTATTTCGACTATCTGCTCACGCGCTTGCTTAATTTTACGATTATTTAACATAAATGCATCGCGGCAACAGCTGTTCGTTGAAGCAAGTAGTTCGTGCGATGCATCTCTACTTGAAATGACAAGTTGAATAGAAAATAAGAATTGTAGATTGCTGTTTTGTTGCGACATTTACTTCTACTTGACATGTATTTATCAATAAAATTGTTAATAATATCTCTCGTGCGTTTGAAACGTACACTGTCCATGCGGTGTATTGCATTTTGATAGTATACTTTTAAAGCAGGGCACACACTTTTCGTAGAACGTAACAGTAAGGTTTCGACCAATCGCGTTGCTCAATTCTTTATTCTTCTACTGTTACAATCGAGCAACGCGATTGGTCGAAACCTTATTGTTACGTTCTACAGAAAAGTGTGTGTGCCCTGCTTAAATGAGCCATTGGATCTTGCTTAGCCATTGATTTAACTCTCGTGGTATCGGAATAATGTTGCTAGCGCAATCCTCGAAGTTTTCGGTCATAAAGGGGAGTTTACACACGCAATGATTAGTGGCGCCAATCGACTAACGTCAGTAAAAATACAAGTGTAAACACTAATTGATACAAACTGGCGCTAGTAATGTGGCGTTAACTGGCAGTTATTGGCCGTCATTGCGTGTGTAAACTCCCCTTACCGGCACGTTGCGAAACAACGCAGATTGACTTCGAGTCAGCAGCATCGCAACGCGTTTGATTGGCAAAGTACCAATGGAAGTAACGCCGCATCTTAATATTGATCGAATGTATAACGGAGATTCGCTGCTTGGTGATTAACATGTTGATTGCCACGCGAATTTTGTACGTTTTACTCTGGATGATGCCACGGTAGAATTTTCATTATCATTATCATATAATGATAAAATACTATATGGCTGCGCTAACTTTAGATTTAAGCTATTTTTTACGAATTACGAAATGGCTGCAGCAATAAAATCCAAAATAGAGGAAACAAATTAGAAACTAGAAACTAAAGAGTATTAAATTTCTGTGTATGTTTTATTAGATTGTGCTAAAGTGACTGTGTCAGTTTAATAAACGTCGCCATAGCAGTCCACGTGTTAACGTAAATGCATATTTCGCGAAATATATTCGGTCGAGATACATCGCGCACTGACAAAGCGACCGTATTGTCACATTCCGCCGACATTTATTTCTGATTCTAAACAACATTTATTTACCCGCGCTACGATATGAGACAGTAATCGTCCTAGTCGTCGTAAAACGGTCCGTGAAAGTAACACGTATCATGCATAAACGATGCGCGAAGATGCTGGATGTAGAACTGCCAAAATGAGTCGGCGGAGGATTGTAAATTATAAAAATTATTTTCTAGAGTCTATATCCATTTTCGAGCCTATTCATTTCGAGGCAATAGATTATAACATATTAGTTTATTTGCAATATATTTTTATATTTTTAATCTTTAATGTTTAATTTTTTTCTATATAAACTGTAGAAATAAATAATATCTATATTCAGATATTTCATGAGATTAAACAATACAAAGCACTTTACCGCTACATTAATTATTATTTTAAATAAAAATTTTTATATATTGTCTAATAATTGTTATAGAAAAAGATTATTCGTGATTCTTTTATAATATTTCATTTCTCATACGTACATTTTGTGTACGTTTGTAATATAATTTTTACAAATCCATTGCCTCGACATTGAAATTAAAAAAATCACTCATCGTACGTACGTTCCCGAATCGAGCAACGCGATTGGTCGAAACTTTACTATTACTGTTACGAAAAAGTGTGTGTCCTTACCCGTGTTCCGAAAACGACGCAACTTCTTTCCGAAGCCGCGCGACACGTCGCCTGGCCGTATTGCTCTCTGACAAGAGGCACGAGCCAATAAAAATTTAAGAAGAAGTGCGACACGTCGCGAGCCAAGTTGACGGTTGAAATTCAAAAAGCGAGAGTCGTTGCGAGACCGATTATGTGATGGCAAGTCACTATTATCGAATGTGATATACCTCGCTATCAATTCCGTGAAGCACATGTATTAAATGAACATTCGATACATTACAGTTTTTCGTTATCTAATATCTAAACCGCCGAATTTGTGCTTTACTTACTCCGCGCCGCGCCGCGCCGCGCCGCTGGGACAGGGCCGTGACCGTGGCTCTCGGGAACTGGAGTAGGGGGGATGGAACGGGGATAGGTGACTAGGCACGGCGCGCGTTCGATGTGCGTAGTCAGTCTATCGGGGTCTACCCCCCCCTGCATCATCCCCACCGCTCGTGTCGCCGAGAAGCCGCGACCGCCATTTTGGCGTTAATTGCCTGCGGGCTGCGTACAGTACGTGGTGCGGATCACTTTCGTGATCAGAGTCGCGAATGTATCGCGATTCTGTATTCTGTATCGTGTCCACATCGCGCGTCATTCGCTCAAGAAACGTAATACATCGCGTCGGGAGTGCCGTGTAAAGTGTCGCGCGAGTGTGAATTCGCTTCGGCATTCGGCAATGAATGTGCGCGCGATTGTAATGCCCAGTCTACAATGAGTAGTCGGTCGTAAGTCTGAACGTAGCCGATGGGCCAATGAGGAAAATTCGTTTTCGAGAAAAAATTCTCTCATTGGACCATTGGCTGCGTTCCGATATCCGACTTACGATTCATTGTAGGCTGGCCATAACTCGCGTTCTCGCGAGTGAACGCACATAACCACGGGTGTCGTGCCGTTTGAGGATATACTGGACATCGCGCGAGTGTAGTATTTTGAAAATGAGCGGATCCACACGATCGCTACCTGCCTGCTTAGCTCCGGGAGTGCCGTGCAAAGTGCCGCGCGTTCACCGTGTCTGATAATTAAGTGTGTGATCGTAATTGTGAGTGAGTGTAGCATAAGAGGAATGCCGACGAAGGATGCTGAGGGGAGGAGGAGGCTCGGGCTGGCGTCGGGCGACGGCGGAGCAACTGTAGGTGAGTTTATAATTTAGTTAAATACTATTCCCGTATTTGCGGAATATCAATTGTCTTCGTCGAAAATTCTGTAATTATATGTAATTATGTCTAACAAATAATTCATCTACTAAATGTGTAATAAGTAATAAATATCTACTTGAAAAAGGGCGAGTAAGAAATTCAATAATGATTATTCATTTCTTAAAATAGTAATTATTTTGAGCGCTGTTGTTAATCTTTATGATATTTTTGTGATTTACAGATTAACGTAACTGCGCTACAACTCCACTGCTGCGCATCGTGCGGGTGAGTCATTTTTTAATTTTGAAGCAATGGATTTATGATAAAATCGTATCAGGAAAGAATCAAGTTAAAAGCATGATAATATTACAGATTGATATAATATTTCATGGATCCATTGCTTTTTTTTAAACGAAGGAGCTGCGAAGGTTTAATCGTGCAATTATCCTACAATTTATTGTGCATACGAAGATGCACACATATTGTTTTATAATATATTTAATATATACAAGCGAATAATCACGTAATTTATTTGTACGGATATGCACAATACCGAATATACGCAACGATGAATGAACTGATTTCTCTTGCCGAGCGAGTTTTAGAATATTTCACTTATAAATTAATTAATCTATAATAAGTACATTTTCTATTTAATCGACTGTCTCCACGCGAGAAAAGAGAGATGATCGGACGGCTCTCTTAATGTAAAGAGGAAGTAATCTCGCGAAACTTATCTCGAGCCCGAGTTTATTTTCGCATTCGTTCGGTATGGTAAAACTACAAATTATCATATTCCGTCTTATCGCCCCGAGAACGCAACCGCGTTTTTAATTCAGCCGACGGCGGCGACGGCTGCGACGACTCGAGAAACGTATTTCGACGAGATGGAGCGAGCGCGATACCGCCGCGCCGCGATGCCACGTTGAGAGAGTGCGGGCCCGCGTTATTAAATCACGGCGACGTGTGTGCATCGCGCACGGCCGCGTCATAGTTATAGCAAATACACGGCTGCATACACGCCTCGTGGCGTCCCGACGATTGATAGATACCGCCGTGTCGTTCGATATTTCAAAAGCGCATTGTTCGACACGGACTTTGTCTACGCGCCTCCGCAATAGGCGGCTTCCCTCCCAGTTATCGTCGCATCGTCGTCGACGGCATGCATAATTCCGCGTGTTGCACACGGAATGCCCGGGCGAGATTAAACCTTGCGAAATGGGTTATTGTGTATCCGCACGTGGCGCAAGTGCTTAAATAGTCATTGCTCCGGTACACCGTATATGCGCAATTGCAGAGTGCTCGAGTAAATATTACGATCGATGCTCGTCTTTCGGCGTATAAGCGCGCAAGTCATTATCTTTCATTACACGTGCTCCTTGATCGCCCTTAAAAATACCTTCTCCACCTAATCGGCTGCGTTTTAATTTCTGCAATTTTGCATAACACTCTGCATAATACTCTAATCTGTAATTTAGCAATTTATTCCACGCGAAAAAGGAACGCTCGCGCCCTTCTCTGTGATTTTTATCTCGATATACTTATGTAGCTTTAATTTGAAATTTATATTTAGTTCAAGTGCGATGACTGTTATTGAATTTTATATTGAGAGAGCACGGCGCACACACGCGATAATGACGTAAAGATCGCCAAGATTTTCCGACCGCCGCCCCGGCGCGCCGTCGAGGACTTTGCGTGTAATTTTGTCGAAGCGAATTTCGTTGTGCGAGCAGACGTTTAAAATATGCGGCAGGCAGTACGAACTCAATTTACCGTCGGTACATATACCGAATGAACTTCCCCTATCAGAGAAGGGAGCTCAGCGGAAATCGTTGCCAAGAAAAATAGTAAGAGCCATTCACTTCGCCGCGTAATGGAGTTAAAGGATTTAGAATTTGGCACGCGCGGGTGGATCGGTTCGCGGCGGCGGCGGTGTCCCGGTCTTAACCCTCGGATTACCGAATCTCGTACATACTACTCGAGGAATGGATCATTGAACGTCGGTCGGACGATAAAACGCGCCGTAAAGGCCGCTAAGGTCGCTAATTGTCCCGATGGAAAAAGTCGAGCGTGAAGGAAAAAGAAAAAGATAATATCGCTGAAAGACCGAAAGGAAGAGAATATTCCGAGTTCTTGGAATGCCTGCACCTGTCGACACCTGTTCTTAATTGGGCTCCCTATGAAAGATGCGGGGAGATCGAATAGCGAGGCTCTCGATAACGATTTCAGGCGCATAAAGTTCCCATTGCAATCACGTTTTCAATCCCGTCTCTCGTACGCGTTACGCATTATTGCCCCAACGTTTCTTTTTTACGGCATAATGCAAGTACCTACGTTCGATCGCGTGATCGGAGTTCGTTGCTGAATCCCATTCTCGATTATCGTGCCGTAACTGTAGCACCGATTGTTAAGACGGAAAGCATATTATTTGTCGAGCGCATATATTCTTGCGCTCTCGCCGTGAAGTATAATTTCGTGCATCTTGAGTCGAGAGAATTATAACGATTGATTTGATTGACGGTCGAATAAGAGAAATCTATTTTTTCCCTTTTTTTTGCAAGAAATAAATTAAGAGCGGGAATTTTAACCAAAATGTTTCTTTAATTAGGAAAACTTATCATAATTAAGAAATTTATTTGTTTTAATTATTAAAAAATAAAAAAATAAAGTAGTGAAGTATTTTAAAAATCTGTAAAGTAGAGACAACTACACTATCAATTATCTGCTTATTTTTTAACCGTGATTAATTGTCATCTTTTGTTCGACACTTTTACATCAGACATATACCTTATTTTGTTTCTAAAATGGAGTTTTCTCGTATGTAGCCATCCTTAAGCCCACCCGCAGCAATATTAGCATATGAATTTTCATGAGTTTAATATTCATGGACGCTGTTTGTTTTGTGGCAGTTATGTATTATATGGGTGGAATCCAGTTAAAACAAGTTTAACAACAAAAGCAAATATAGTTGGTTATACAACGAACTGAATCTAGATATTTGCTGCGGTGTGCTTTTCTAAAAAAAGTTTAAAGATAATTCCTCTTTCCGATGCAAATCCGATCGGGCATTCATCTTATTGCACCTGTCGGCACCTGTTCTTAATTGGCTCTCTCAGTAAAAGATGGACAGATCGAACGGCGAAGACCTTAAAAACTTTCCGATGATATTAAATATCTTGATGAATAAGGCTTATAATAAAGAGAAGCTAGCAAGCGGAGAATAATTTTGTTATTCACTTGCGCTTTTTGAGCTTGAATAAGAATAGTTATTTGTGTAACAAGTGTCGTAAGATGAAAATTCCCGGATGCGGAGTTTACGCACCAGCCGAAGGCAAGTGCGGTAACCGCACCCGCGAATTTTCATCTTTACACACGACTTACACTCCCTATTTTATGTTGCAAGCAGTTGCAAGTGCCTGGAAAGTGGTCTATCACGCACGCGTAGCGTGCGTAATGGGGCACTTTCCATGCACGTGTTGCATAATACATTTTTTAGTATCAGTAAAGTATAGCAGTATCTAGTAAAATAGCAATACTGGTATAAATTATAGATAGATTTAAGTTTTTTTAAGGAAAATATTATTTTGTATACGTTCCTGAAATTTGGTATATAAATTAAATAACATCTCAATAATCATATAGAGTTGACTTTAACATCCGCTGTGCTATAATTAAAATGTCGATAAGTTTTCGAAAAGTTTTAGAAAAAGGCAGTCCGTTTGATTGTCGGCTGCAATTATCATGATGATCTGCGCATCGTCCGCAATATGTATAATTTAACTCGGGGAGGAGATTCGCGAGAGATCGGGGGAATGCCTCTGCTAGTTAGCGGCGCGCGTTTTGATTGTTTGCGACGCGCCGAAAATTTACTCATCTCCATACGCGCGCGATCAGGCTCTCCGGCCGTGATTCGCCGGCATTCATGAACCAGCAATTTTATCGACAAACACCGGACGACGTTCAAATACATATTTAATGCCCGTGCGTATGCATTTGCGTGCGTGTGCGTAAACATGATTTTGCGCATCGAAATACGGGCCGCGCGGTTTGCACAGCTGATGGATCAATACAGGACATTACCGCGACGAGTAATAAGTTGCCAATACCTGATTCATCACCGTCAATACCGTCGGAGTACATCGCGATAATTAGCCGGTAATCCTTGAACGTTCGATAACCGAGGCGTACGAACCCGGGGCGAGTGTACGTTGACGCGGTACACGGTACACGCGTGACAGCGCCGCCGTGCGCGCGTGAACGCTTCTCGCAAATGGTAATTACCATCCGGGGGTGATAACTTTGAAGATACCCGATTAATGCCAGTTCCGTGGTTTAGCATAAGCTAAGATTATAGGAGACAGCCCATGTTATCGAAGTCAATATCGTCAGACTAGCTCAGATTGGGGAACGTATAGCGATGTATACGATGATGATGGTCGTTAGAATGGCACGACGGTGATAAGCCGTAATTGCAGCCTCTGCAGAAAGCACTTAATCTGTACATATATTATTGCTCCATAATGCTATATATTTTCGTTTATCGAGAACTAAATCTGCGGAAAAATTATGTCGCGTACAGGCCAGTCTTTATTCTCGTAACGTCTTATCTCGCTGACTCTGCTAATCGATAAAAAGCAATTATTTTCATAGGTAATCGCAACAACGTTACGTTAAATAACCACTTTATATCTACTACCTCCCTTGTATGTAATTTTGCTCTTTATTGCATTACTTCGTCCTCCCGTAAAATAGAGGAATGACAAAGAGCCGTCATCGCTATTTATTATCTACGCGCTTAGGTTACCAGATAATTTCGCTATTCTGCAGGTGAAGTACGGCGTAGACGGCCGGCAACCGGGGAGTTTTGGCCCTTATGAAATATAAACCGTCGTACCGCACGATCGTTTGCGGCGTCGTGCGCAACCCTCGAAATGCATCAAGACTGCGTGCAAGTGCTAAAGCTCTCTCTCTCATCTCACCGCACTCCCGCGTATATTTCATCATCGTAGATTCCGCGGTGTTGTCGCGGTGCTCTCTCCCTGTGTGCATTCCTCTTGCGAGGAATATAGCGAATATATAGCGAAATAAAGTCCATCGGTATACGGTCTGTGCGCGCGACCGTAGCCGTTTTCGCGATTACGATTTGAGAAAAGTTCACCGTGTGACACCCAGGATGACTCATCGGTGCAATATTGCGATAATAAAGACATTTGGCGGGTATCCAGCTGCGTGTATGGGATTTTACCCTACTGTAAACAGTCGTTTCGCGAAGACGGACGGCGAAA